AAAATCTGGAGGTTTTATGAAAACCTATGGGGAGATAGTCTCGAATTGGTATCCAAACTGATTTGAAAGCAATGAAGTAGAGTTTAGAGAGAGAAACTAGGATATAAAAGGAGTTGAAAGGAATATACCAGAATGCTAACGGTAATTGCCTAAAGGTCATAGGTCATCTGTGGGTCAACTCATTTCCTGAATACATTTTATTTTCTTAGTTAAGAAAACAGGAGAATGATTTCCTTGTTTTTATGAAACTCAGGAAGAGCAAGGTTAATGTTTGAGTAGTACTTACTCCTATTTCCTTAAAAATATTTGAAGAAGTATAGAAAACTTTGGGAGACTCTGATCTAATATTAATATTGCTACATGTTTCCTTTACCATTGAGTCCACTGTTCATTATCAAGAATAAACTGCCCCAATTAAATGACATATAAACAGGTAACTCTTAGAATATTTATTAAATGGATGATTTACAAGAAGGATGTTGTTGAATAAAGGTAAAATGTTTCCCTTACAGTGAACATGAAACTTAAATGGGTAAGATTTATTCAGTTTCATTTTTTAAAAGAATATCTGCCCCTTTAAGATTATATCATAATGTGTGAAGCACTGGTGAGACTCACGTCACCAGAAATTCCCAATGCACTGATTTCCCTGAGATTTTTCACCCGATGATTGTACTGCAACAAGTGAGCATCGTTGACCGCAACCTTGAAGTGGTCAGCTTCCACCAGTACTTGGATCTGAAATGGTACATACACAAAACTGTTAGAAACGCCCATTAACTTCAAAACCAGTCAGTCCTGAGCTCAGGGTATCCACATTTCATCTTTATGATCATTCGTGGAACTGATTAAAGTCCTGAAAAAGTAACTTTACAAAAAAATAAACTCCAGACCATTCAAAAATTTACATAAAATGAAAACAAAACGACAGAATTTTTAGGGGGTATATAGTTGAAGCCACAAAGGAAAAAATAATGTCTACATAAATAATGTGTCTACATAAAAAGTTTTCATATGGCCTAAACCACCTAAAAGTAAAAATAAAAATAAACACTAAAGTAGAAATCCCCTAATAGAGAAGCAAATGCTATGAAGATGGGTGATAACCAGTTTTCGCAAGAGGAGGGAAGACACAGCCTCCCAGTAGTTAGTGGATGTCTTTAATCCTCACATCCTCTCAGAAGTAGCACTTTGGCAATATCTAAATTTTAAATGTATATTCTTAAAATTATTCTTCTAGAAAGCAAAGAAGAATAAGAAAAGTTAGTAAAGTATTTTAGTAAAATAAATAAAACCTTCCCCAGTTTTATTTGTAATATTTCCAAATTCTAATCAACAGAGTACTGGTTGGATTATCACATATCTAAACAATGAAATACAATCGCATAACAATGTTCTGATACCGAGAGATGTCCATCAGTTGTAGGATATGGTCCCTATTTGTCTCTGCCCTTGAGGAGCTCATAGTCTAGCTGCTTTATTACCCACAGTCAATCCTAACTGAACACTGTGAACCTACTAAATATTTGGTGAAGCGGTACTTAAAAAGAAAAAGTGTGCTGTATGTCACAGAAAATACTGGGAAGACATTCAGTGAGTTGCAACCCTCGGGACGTAAAGGATGGAGGACTTTTCAGTTAATTTTAAAAATCTATACATTTTTATTTTCAAAAGCATATATTAATTTTAGAATTAAAAAATTTTAACTTGTACACCTGAAGCTAATATAATATTAAATGTCAACTGTAATTTCTTTTTAAATGACATTTTTTAATTTAAAAAATTTAGTTTTGATTGCCATGCCACGATGTTTTTTAAGTAACTAAGTCCCAGTTCCCCTGAGAAATTCTGCCTTTTTTATTAAAGATGATGTTTTTCTCATTTCCAGAAAAGGTTAAACTCAGGGGTGGTAACGGATGGAGTTGGGGAGTGTCCCACTCCCGGCCTGCTGATCCTGCACCCCTGGGGTGGGGAGGAGCTGGTTAGGTGTCCCAGGGCAGCTGACCAAAATTCATTTCAAGTGCATCAGGGTTTTAGAGTGAGCAATATGCAATGTCAATACACAACAATAGTAATAACTTACTTTGAATGGTTTACCACTTTCAAATGGGAAAATCGTCTGTCTTTCTTCCTTTCCCCAGGTGTTACTCAGCTTTGAATTGCATACAATGACTCTCTTGTTGTCCTCATTGAAGCGTGGGTTAAAGTGGAAGGCGATTTCATTCCCTGTCTTGAAATCTAAAACAATGCTGTTTAAACCAAGGACCAGAGTTAGTAAAATGATTCAAGTTGCATATTTGTATCAAGCGAAGGACACATGATTTTCTAAAAAGCAAGTCGTTTTATAAAATACTGGAAAAGCCTGGCTGGGCGTGGCTCAGCAGTTGAGCGCTGACCTAGGATCCAGGAGATCGCTGTTCGACTCCCAGTCAGTACACATGCCCAGGTTGCGGACTCGATCCCCAGTTGGGGGCGTGTAGGAGGCAGCTGATCAATGACTCTCTCTCATCATTGATGTTTCTTTTTTTTTCTTTTAAATATGTCTTTATTGATTTCAGAGAGAGGAAGGGAGAGGGAGAGAGAGAGAGAGATAGAAACATCAATGATGAGTCATTGATCAGCTGACTCCTGCACACCCCCACTGGGGGTTGAGGCTGCAACCCGGCATGTGCCCTGACCGGGAATCGAACAGCGATCTCCTGGATCCTAGGTTGATGCTCAACCGCTGAGCCATGCCAGCCAGGCTCATTGATGTTTCTCTCTCTCTCTTCTCCTCTCCATTCCTCTCTCTGAAATCAATAAAGGTATTTTTTTTTTTTTTTAAATAAAATACAGGAAAATTTTCTAAGCAGAAAACAAACCAGAGAATGGGTTCAAGCTGGATACTATTAGTAAAATACTAAAAGTCAACAAGACAGTATGTGTTGAATTGTTTGGCCTCACTGTCTTTGGACACATCATTCTCTTCAGCTGGAATTCCCTCTTTACCCCTCTGCTCATGAAAACCCTTCGAGGTTTCCTTATAGAGGTCTGAAGCCACTTTGAGGGCATGCTATGCTTTCCACTGCAGATGACAACACTTGCCTCCTTCCTGCCCTGCCAGGTTGCTTTTAACACCTTCTGATGGCAAGCCAGTCACATAAGTAAGAGAACAAATTCCTGGCTTCCTCCTAGTTAACCAAGAACCTAGTCCTAAAACAGCAAAGTGAGATTATATAGTTAATGTTCAGTATCCTGCTGCTAAATTGTAAAATCATGACAATAAGTGTATTGGACTTTCCATGATGTGGAGTGGAATTGATGCAAGTGCCGGCTTAACTTTCTGACCCCGGTCCTTCTCCTTGGATGTTAATGCAAACACAGTCCTCTGGCTGTTAACCATCCCCCAGTTTCTCAAAGTGTGCTCCACAGAGCACTAATGTCAGAATCCGCTGCTGCTCTTGTTTTCAAGCAGAATTTGCACTCCTGACCAACTAACAAGCACAGATCCAACCACAAATGTATTCACAGGGAAAGGACCAAAAGAGTTAAGTGGCCATAGAAATTGTATTTGACTAAGTATCCAATGGCTGTATTGCCTCTGCAGGGAAAAAGATGTCATCGCCACCACCTTAAGCATTCTTTTTTCTTCTAATTCCTTACATAGAATGTGCAGGACCAAGTAACAGTTTTTTCAGTTTGCTATCACCTTGACCATTTCAACCAAAATTAGTTTTGATCTGCCACAGTCTCAGTCTACATCTCTACTGTAATTGGGGCTAACATTTCCTGTACAAGAACCCTAAATAGAGGCAAAGATGCCAGTGTGGTTCTGTGTGATAGGGGTTGGAGGAGGGGAGCAGAAATTAACACACTGTGAGTGCTGTATGCACAGAATAAGGTGTCCTGAGTCCTATGTTATGTTGGGAGGAAAGACAGATAAGAACACAGGCAGAGGATATTTGCTGTGAGACAAGCTTTCTTGTGCAGGGAAGTACTGTGTTTAGAGAAGCTGTCTAGGCCGTATGGAAAGAAGAGTTGGCTTAGTGTGGTTACTATGGAGTAGAACCAGAGGAGGCTGGCTAGAGGTGGGAGTAAATGGGTTATTTGAATGTAAAATGATCAGATCAGAAGCCAGTCCATCTGGTAACAGAGGAGGTGGCTGCTGTTGATTCGCCAGAAGCAAGGTGACAGACACTCTTAGAGGCTGCTTGTGGATCCTTGAATAAACCTGTGTACCTGGCCTGAATTTGTATCTTTTGTATACTGCCCATAAGACCCAGAGACACATTACTTAATGGCGGCAGGAGCTTTAGTGGTACTGCTAACCTCAGGGACAGGCACACTGGAGGGCTTCAGGATATCCTTAGCCTGTTTGTATTATATGTAATCATAACCGGTGATGACAACCAGAGCCAGGCGTCCCAGGGCAGCCATAAATCAGCACGGATTTTTCCTAAAGTAGCTCAATGCCTTCCCCTATCCTAGCTCACCTCAATCAAACCAGTCCCAAAGGCAAAGGTTGACTCATTTTGATGAAGTCTTTAAAATGAACAATCTTTTCAAACCTTTTAAGTAACTAGCAACTACTCAGAAGACTGGGGCTCCCCACCCTGCCACCTGTCATCTGTAGGCCAGGCCAACACCGTGGGAGTCTGTGACCCACTGTGAAAACCGGCATGGCAGCCAAGCTCGAGAGCTGAGGCTGCACTGTGACCTGCGCTCCTGCAGGGAGACTTGCATGAGTATGAGGACACAATGGGATAACCACCAAACTCAGGTCAACTCACCATGTCCAGAGGGATCTCTTGGTTTTGGACCCTCATCTTTGATGGGCATCTAGGCCTCAAGCGCATGCTTCGCTTTTTAGACACTATGTGGTTCAGAGGTGGAGGGATGGCCAAGCATGACATTACAAAGGCTCTACTTGCCTTTAATGCTAAGGCTTTACTGCCAGGAAGAACCAACAGAATGGGTTCTTTTGCTCTTTCTCTGTCCTCACAATGTAGAACTCTGTTTTACTCAGGTTCTGGGAGAAAAACAAGCTTTGGCGAGGGAAACCTTGTCCCCTTGGTGGGAACACATATTGACTTACGGGATAATCCTATACTATGGAAGAGCCAAGACTCGAAATGTGTAGTTTTAAAAATTCTATTAAATTTCAATACAGATCAGCCTTTATTCAAAAAACAATCAACAAATATGTTAGACTTTTCAATTTTGCTCTTTACCTGTTTGCATTGGGCTTTACTGTGCCCATAATGGTTACCAGCATGCGAGGCATGATTCCTCCGGGGAAAGCCAGGTTATAAGGCACAGTCTGGGGATGAAAAATATATGTGTATCAATAAAGAGTCATGTTTTCTTGGGGAAAGAGAAAAAGATGTTGCTAATGTTCAATCACTATTAATACGTGTGACTAACACATAACCCTAATTTAAGCCATCTGTCCAGACTCTAAGGCCAACCTTGCCCAGGGCCTGAAGAGAGAAGGTTCCCTATATGCACAACTAATGATCGAGAATAAAGCCATCAGTTAATTGGTGCCAAAGGCAGAACACAGTCCTTTTTGGAGCACTGCAGCTCTTATTACTAGGGCCATCTCAATCTATAACTCATTCACTTAGATTATATTTTGAAAGGGCTTAAGCTAGACCTTGCAATCAACATTAACATTTCTGTGCCACCTTTAAGACCCTTGTCACATAATATACTTCATCACATCATGTTCTTGGCCTTCTGGACTCTCATATGTTCTACTCAGAACACCAACAGAGTACTTAGTGTGTGGCAGATACTCAATATTTGTGGAACAAACACCTTCCAGTTAATACATTTCCTAATTCATTCTGCAAATATTTATGTTCAAGGTACTGTAAATATTCCCAAAGCTCCATCTCTGGCCTCTTCTTTTTTCCCTTTATAATTTCCCCCCTGAGTTCAACTATCATCCAAGTCTTTTATCTCTAGCCCTGATCTGCACTAGTCCTGTACTTCCTCCCTCTGGATTTGTGACTGGTGCTATAAATCCAACAGGTATGAACTGGAATTGTCTCTCCCACCCCCTCCCCCATCAGTCTCCTTCCTGAGTTCCCAGTTAGAGCAGACGCTTGGCTGGTGCTCTAGTTGTCCTGTCTTGAAAAGCCAGTCATGTCTGACTCCTAAGCCTTAACCAGCAGACCCTGGGGTTCTTCCTTTGCAATCTCCCATCTGCCTCTTCCTTTCCATAGTCTCATGTCCCCCTCTATCTGCAGTGGACTAACGGTCCGTGGTCCAGGCCCTGTCCAATGATAACCACACCCCCAGCACTTTCTCTGCGCTTTCCTCTAAGCTGACCTAAAAGTAGATCAGATGCCACCTGTGCCATCTTCTACATAGTCCTGAGGGGTCTGATCCCAGGCTGTCACTGAACTCTTTCCTCGTATCTCTTATTCCCCAGCTAGACTGTAAGTCTGAAAGGCAGGGATCTGTGTCTGAGATGTGTCTGGAGTCCTACAGGGTTAAGGTTTTATGCTTAGAATTTCTTTACTAAAATGTGTCTTAATATAAATGAAAATTCAATCCTTAGATCACAAAATTATCTTTAGAAAGTTTTTCAAAACAAGATTACCACGGTTCCCCCACATGTTCTATCTATGATCCTGGGCGAGCTATATAACTACTGCCCCATTTCCTCATGTGTAAAACGGGGCTAACGGGAATATCTTTTGGGGTGGTGATGGGGTCAAATGAGGTCATCATGTAGAAGCACACTGCGGGCACATGTTATTTACTCAGTGTTTATTAACAACAAAAACTTTCCCCATCACTATGCTCTTGACTTGATTTACATTAAAGCTGCCTTCCGGATGCCTTCAAAAGATGCATTAGCTTCTTTTTACACCCACACTGCACACACTAAACTCAGTACAAAGAACGACTTTTTCTATTGGACCAACGTACACTGCAGCTGGTCCCTGGAAAGTGCCTCTGAGCAGTGAGCATAAAGCTTCAGGTCTCCCCGAAGCCCTCTGCCAGTGAGAGCTCAGAGCCAGCTCCTAGCCGGAGCACTGCAAAGTGATGGCACCACAGCCCAGACAGTGGCTGTGTTCATCAGCTTTGTCCTGGTCACAGTCAAGTACATGAAATGACGAACTATCTTACCAGTGGTCCAGCAGGGACACCAGTGGGGCCGGCACCAGGGTAGGCCCCGGGCCCACTTGGATGTCCAGGGTGGGTTCCTGGTGCAGTTGGTCCGGGATAAGCAGGTGCTGTGGGACTAGGGTAGACACCAGGAGGCGACTGTCCGGGGTAAGCACCAGGAGGTGCCTGTCCAGGGTAAGCACCAGGAGGCGCCTGTCCAGGGTAAGCACCAGGAGGCGCCTGTCCGGGGTAAGCACCAGGAGGCGCCTGTCCAGGGTAAGCGTTTCCAGGAAGCCCAGGGTAGGCGCCAGGAGCAGCCGGTCCGGGGTAGTTTTCAGGAGCTGCAGGGCAGACGGCAGGAGGTGCCTCTCCAGGGTAAGCCCCAGGATAGGCGGCCCCTGGGTAGCCTCCTGCCCCAGCAGGCTGGTTTCCCCATGGACCAGGCCATCTTTGAGGGTTTGGGTTCCCAGACCCAGAAAGGGCATCATTAAGCTGGAAAGAAAGATATAAACAATTCCTGGATGAAAAACATTCACAAAAACAGAATTTTCAGGAAAGCAGTAATAAAAGATCTGAGAAATAGAGGGATATGGTGAAGGTATGAAATTCATATCAATAAAAATTTTTCCACCTATTAAATAGTTTTGAGTTCCAAAGACTAAAATTAGACTTTGGGATTATATGTGCTTTATCAGTACATGTCTCCCATCATCTCACATCGTGGAGGGTTGCGTTTTCGTAATTTGCTAAAATCAGAGCTAGCCATCCTCTACATGAAAGCACGTATTTTCTGACTGACGTGAGAAAAACAATCACAAAAATCAGGACGCTCGGACTGTAGTACACTTCCCCATTGCTCAGCTTATTTCTCAGCTCTTGGCCCACAGAATCGACCCGCTTCTGCCCTAGGCCTTTCCGTAAAGGGGTTACTCTTAATGAGTCCCAGGCCTCTCTCTACCTGGCTTTCTTCCCAAATCTGTTGCTGGAAAAACAAGACTAAGACCAACAAGCCTTCATTGGACGGCTGCGGCCAGAGGAAGGCACATGGTGTGAGTTAGAAGGGAAGGTCTGGTGTTAAAAACAAAACTCTCCACCAACATGGAATCAGAATGTAAGAAAACAGACATAAAACACTTACCGAAAAACTGTCTGCCATTTTCCTGAGAAAGAAAAAAAGAAGATAGGTTATGATTTTATCTGAATAGATTTCACAAGTTTCCATTTAGATTTAACATCACAAATAGTTTGTTGTGTAGTTCTAGTAGATTTACAGGCATTCTTCCAGTATAAGCCAATCTATTTCCAAAACACGTTTAAATCAATAGCGTGGAACCACAAAAGTGTCTCATCAAAGGGTGGAGATGCACTCCAGCTGGATTACCAAACTCTTTCAGCCATAGCTTTAAAGTCCAGTGACACTAGTGGATGTTCTGAACCCTGGACGCAAGGGCCATACAGTGCAGGAGAGGGAAGGCTGAGGGAGCGAATGTTCTGCCCCTGTCCTAGGTAACAAATCGGCACAGTGGTGGTTTACCTTTGCTCTGCCTTCGCCCCCTTCCCGTGCACTTTTCCCACCACTTCCTACAAAGGGCTGTGTGTGTTAGTATCACCCGCCACGGGCCCCCCCATTCTCATGGACAGACCCTTGCCCCCTTCTGGGTTTTAGAAGGAAAGCGGAGTTGGTTGGTTCTTACTGAGATCTGAGACATGCCCCTCAGATAGTTACTGCCGATTACTTGTTCCTTCATTTGCACACATTTGTGCCTGCTCTGCACGGACACTGTGCAGGCTCCTGTCTGGGTGTGAAGGTGGACAGGCCACGGTCTGTGTGGTCAAAGGGTGCGCAGGCCAGCAGGGATCACAGATGGCCACGCTGGGAGCCAGGCCGTGTGCTGTGGGGAGTCACAAGCAGAACAATGACTTCTCGGAGGGGAGGTGTTGTTTGAGCTAAGCCTTGGATGTGGAGCGAGGAAGAAGAAAGGCAGGCACAAAATGCTCGCTGTTTTGAAAAAGGCACTTGTTCCAAATGAAATATTTGGCAGTATAACAAATTAAAGTTAAAAAAAAAAAAAAAAAAAAAAGTTGGGCAATGTGGAGGAAAATATTTCGGGTGGGGCAAAAAGGGTTTGCCTTGCCCAAAGCTGCCTCAAGTGATGGCCTTGACGTGTGTGCGTGTGTGTGTGTGTGTGTCCCTGTCTGCGGCTCCTCCCAGGGCCTTTGATACCTGCACTGAGGGGAGGGGGCAGCTTCGGAGGACTGAGGCCTGCGTGGGTTTGCTCAGCTCAGGACTGCTGGTGCTATGGCCAAAATCACCTGCACTTTAGACAATTAGAATCACTGTTTTCCTTGAGTTGCTCACTCATAATATTTACTCAACTATTTTAAGAAATGACAAGGGATCCAACAAACGATAACTACTTGATAGGTCCTAAAAATGTAAAATATTAGATTTTCTGGTAAAAACTCAAATAGGCAGAGCTCCTCCTAGGATTTCATGTGTTTCACTTACACACATGATATTTATATTTTGCACATCTCATTTTTAATCTGGGCATTCTGAAACATATTTGGAAACAGGTTATCACAGTGTCCATTTTCCAAGGTGGGAAACTGCTGGCAATCTGACTAGGAAGCACCACGACTCTCCCAGGGCTTCCGCTCACTGCATTTCCTATAGTAGTTGACCTTTTAAAGCAAACGTTGGGTGCTTCTCTGCCTGTGCTTCCTGCTGCTACCGCAGGAGGAACTCGAGAGAGGAGTTGTTACAGAAAAGGAGAAGAAAGGACATTTCTTTAATCAAGAAAAGAAAAGCCTCTCTCATTTTGGATACTAGTAAAAAACAATCTAGAACTTCATGGTGGGCAGAGAGCTTAGTTCCTTTGATCACATAAACTCTTCTTCCACTCTTGGGCAACTCACCAAAGACCCAGCAAAAATGTTCTAAGTGTTTTCACTTCTTTTAAATATCACTAATCCCTAACCTCAGCACCACTGCCATTTCTGGTTGGATACTTTGTTTCCGGGGAGCTGTCCTATGTATTGTAGGACATTTAGAAGCATCCTTGGCTTCAACCCACAGTAGCACAACCGCCACAACAAAAAATGTCTTCAGACATTGCCAAAGATCACTGAGGAAATGGGGAAAAGGCAAAAGATGCCTGGCTGAGAACCACTGGTCTAGGCTAATTAGCATGTGGTTCTCTACATATATGTACATACGCAGGTCAATAAAAAACAAGGGTCGTTTCAATTATTAAAACTAGCCAAATCCATGCCATTGGCCTCACAGGGCGTTTTATTATCATAATTCCAATCAAACTAAGATGTGTTTAAAGGCTGGCTACAACCAGAAATTCACATCAAGACAGCATTTCCAAAATTTAACATTTATTCTTTTCAAAGTCTCTGCTGAATCATATTCAGTTTACTTTCCAACACAACCAAAACAACTTGAGAAACAAAGCAGATTTCTCTTTACTTCCACTGTGTTTCACATGATGGCTCGGATGACAGTTTGGATTGTGTTGCAACACATGAGGCAAGCCCATCAGAGTAATTACACCCTGCATGTGTGTGGTGCTTTGCAGTTTAAAAAGCACTTTCACATACCTTACCTAGTATGATTCTGATAATGATCTTATGAGATTGACAGGGAAAAGTTAATATTCCCACTTTAGAAGTGAGGAAACTGAGGCTCAGAGAGTGACCATGGTGGCCCAAAGTCATTCTGTCATTAGCAGGCCAAGGACCAGGGTCCGAGCAATCTGACTCCTAATTCAGGCTCATTTTACACTAATATAAAACCTCACACTTTGAAATTGTAAGGTATAGTCCTTTGAAAGTGTTAATTACTTCGCTTAGACATGATCTAGCTAATTCATTCAGAACTACCTAACATGCTGAAATTGTAAACAAATTTAAAAAGAGATCATGTTTTTGTCAGAAACTTAGCTGGCTGACTCATTCATTATGCAAGGATACTGAACACAAGAATGCCATTTTGCACAGTCACTTGGCTAATTATACACACATTTAAACCAACATGTACTTTTCCAAAAATTGAGTGTGTGCTGTTTTGATTTTTTTCAACTCATAACCATCAGATCTTTTTCTTGACAAGGGTTATAACCAATGCTCTTTTTAAATCAAGGTTGGCAACCTTAGAACTAAAAGTAAATAAATAAATAAATACTACAACAAAAAACATCTATTTAGATAAATGTCCTTCTTATTTGCCTAGAAATTTTAATTAATTAATTAAAAAAAAATTTTTTTAGATGAGTAGTTTATATCTAGAGAGACAAATGTAAAAAAAAAAAAAATCTTCCCACTCTACAAAATCTATACATATTTGGAGAGTCAGAAAAGAAACACTCCATTAAAGAAAAACAAAAAAACAGGACATACTACCAAGGTCTTCACATTTGGAAAAACCTACAGGGAGTAGTTCACTTTGCTTTGAATCATCTGTTAATTATAGCTTTTCCCTTTAATAAAAGTGGTATCCACACTACTATGTTATTCTAGGCTCACCTAGTAATTAATCTGGTTGCTGGGGCTCCCAGGAGCACTTCTGAAATTTCTGCTCACGAAGGGCCCTGACCTTTCTTTACAAGCTGTAAGGGAAGTCAGTCATGAGCGTATTTCCTCAGAACCCAAAGCACTGCCCACACTCCTCTCGGAGGAACACAGGCCAGGCGGTCCACTTCCTTCCCCTTCTTAAAGGCAGAGCAGAACTGGAGGAAAGTCCACTTCCCAAAGCCAAAGTCAGTGAGAACAAGTTGGAATAAAGGCAACCAGTCCTTCACTAGGATTTCTCTCTCATCACACCACTCCCTCAGCACCAAGGAAGGTCAAGTTACTTTGTGCATCTCAGTTACTGATTTTTTTTCCCCTATGGAAAAGCTGATCATCAGTCAAGAGAGAACACATAATATTTAGTCAGCAGCAAACTGTGTGCCTACAGCAAGCACTATCCTGGCAGGCTTACCACTCAGGATTTAATGAGAAGAACCAGTTCGGGCACCAAACAAAATGTTACCTGGCCGTCCTCAGCAGGAGCCTGTGTCCCAAACCTTCACAGGGACGAGAGGCTATCTCTTAGATCAGTTACCACGAGTCTCACACACATTCAAGGACCATCATCAAGTTTCTCCCCAGATTATGGAGCAAGTGCTGGTTCTAAGTGTAACCCCCCAGCATTATGAATTTAGGAAGCAGCTCCAGTCTCCCAAAGATCAAGAATGAGGCACAACCATCAAAGGAATGAGAAACTCTACTGTAGGCATTCAAAGTCAATGTCTGAAAAGGAGGCTGTTATGGAAAAATACATTTTTATTATTAAATTTTAACTTTCAGTGTGGTGAAGACCTGCTGTGGGAGGTGGGTGCAGGGTCGAAGGGGTCAGTGGGGGTAAAAAAGGGAAGTATCTATAATATTTTCAACAATAAAGGTTTTTTTTAAAATGTAAGTTTTATGGAAACAGAATGTCCTAGTATGAAAGATACGTTATAAACTTGAGGTGAGTGAGTCATAATTTTGGAAGCTGGTGAAATTTTTTTCTCCTGCTCTGTGCCCAGTTGGTCAATTTTTATTGCTCTCTCCCTCCCCCCCGAATTAACTGAGCCTCCTTTCCATTTCTTTCCCAGAATACTAGAAACAGACTGGGTCACTGAGGACCAACTGTCCTCATTGTCCAGCAACCCAACTCCCAGGAGTCACTTTACAAATATTCCGCAGTATCTGGCACAGGAATCACCAACTTTAAGGGGCTGGCCTGAAACCCAAGTCACAGCCTCAACCTAAGTGTCCCTGATTCCCTGGTATTCAGCTCCTAATCCTAAAATGGATGCATTTTAGTGTTTTTATTTGCATAACTGATCATTCAGAATAAATCCTCAAACATGTTTTTAACACACACACACACACACCCCTTCAACCAGGGCTGGGCACGCTGGGACCAACGCTTTGCCACACCCCACACATCCTCAGACCATCTGATCAGGGATGAGTCGCCGATTTGCAAAAGCTTAGGGTTTTCGGGCTCTGCCACGCCGAGCACATGCCCCTTCAGGCCCCGGGCAGCACCATTTTCTGCGGGATCAGCACCAGAAGGGCAGCTGTTCCCCCGACGCCGCGGGCTTGGCCGACGAACCCCTTCGCCGCCCGCAGCGCGATCAACCCGCGGGGCAGCCGAGCCGTGGGTCCCAGGTGCCGCCCTAGAGAGTCCTGGGCGTACGCCCTGAGCTGGGCTGGGGCCCCGGCTCCTATTGCCAAGCCTGAGCGAGCCCCTGCGCCGCCCTCAGGAGGGGGACCCAGATGATTCCGGGGTGGTCCCGGTGCGCGAGGGCGGGACGCGCGGCTCAGCCTCCCAGCGGCCGCGGAGGGTGCCCAGTGCCACGCCCGCGTGCGCCCCGAGGGGAGCGGGTGAGTCTCAGTGAGACGGTGCTAAGTCC